AAAAAAACAAGCTGCTGAAGTCCATGAAGCAGTGGAGCTGAGCATATAGGCCATTAGAGGGAGAAATTAATCTGCTTCTTTAAGATGCACAGGGCCCTGATGCGGACAGTTTTTTCTCTTCATGTCACTCTCCCCTTAGGGGGCGACAGAGATCTCTAAGCTCCACTATAGTGAAAAAGCCCCGGTAACCACCCTTGACTCTTCTAGTCAGAGGCATAGCCAGAAAATCCTAATAAGGGCGGCCAGTCAATAACCAATGTACATCGAGGGGTGTCCAAAAGGGACCCGAACCTCAGGGTCAATCTACACTGTTCCAACAGGAACAACCACAACATCCATGTTTTCTAAATAAAGACAAACTATACTGTCTACAGCCTTTGCTGACAAATAGATACAGATATTTAAACCTCCATATCGTCTAAATTAAAGGTATAGTGGATAAAATTCTTTCAGGTTTGAGTTCTGGGGCGAAAAACTTTTACATTGTCATTACCTACTTCTATAGTCATTCTGAAAAGAAAAAGATATTTACATGTACTAATATCCACATTTAATGAATGTTTAAGTTATTATTAAAGTAGTTATTTATCTATAATTTAACCGAAGACTCCTAGATGACTTGCAGAGACATAACTTTATCTTTATCCCCCAAATAATTCAAAATTTAGTTTTGAAAAGAGCATGAATTATGTATTTATCATCTTTAATGTTAGTATATTGATGTGCATAATTAACCTCAGTGTTTCTGTTATAAAGAAATTGTTAATATATGAAAAATGTAAATGTTTATTAACTTTTAATAAACAAAAGTTTAATGACTAGCTAAGGGTGGCCATGGCCACCTCTAGGCCCCCCTTCTAGCTCCGCCCCTGCCTCTATCCCCATACCTTTCCCCGAACCCAGAGACACAGTTCTATTTTTTTATTATTAACACTCTTGATTTATCCATTTTATTAATCAAAAGAAAAACTACCAGGCACATTCCTGCCTTTTACAATTGATTTTTACATGAAACCATTACTAAATTTAATCTTTATAAGATTTATTTATTGTTATTGATGAGCTGGAAATGTCACCAGGTTTGATTTCAGAAATCTGGTCACCTTACTGTAAATAATTGAAATTATAATGCCCAAGTCTTCATTTTAACCTCATTTTAAGATGCTTTATTGCTATATAAACGAAGGTCCGACCACTGATTTTAAGAAATCTAATTCCATAACTCAAAATCAGAAATATAATAAAGTATCTCATAATAGTAACAGTGTCATTTAATAATTATTTAACTAAAAAAAGTATACCGGTATATTATTTCATTTGTGTGATTACTTACCAATAATTATGAAATTCCAGATTTTTTTTGGGCTTATTTTTTGAGAGGGATGGAAAGTAAGGACAAAAACAGTTTTTTAGTCTACTTTTTTTTTATAGTTTCAATGGTTTTTATGGAAAATATTTTCTGATCATGACAGGTCGGCCTCGGATGATAAAACACAATTGAGTCGCTTAAAAGTGAACATCGACACATTGTGCAGAACTTTCTCACTACTGCGCACATATTCCTTAGATGCGAACAACAAAGACAATGTAGGTTTGAATGGTGTGATGTAACTGCTGTAATGTTAAACGTTTTCTATACAAAAAAAAACAAAAGACTGCAGCTTCTCAGGAATTGGTTTTAATAAGAAAACAACTCCAGATACAAAAAAAAATAACAACATCCATTGCTGGTTTTCTGACATCAGTGATATACATCATGTAGTGATAAAAAAGTAAAAAAAAAAGTGAAGACACTTCAGGGAGTAATATGAATGAGGCAGTTGCCTTATTTGGACTTATTAAAATATGAACAAAGATAATTCATATAAATAAATGTTCCCACAAAGCTAAAAAAAAAATAAAAAAAAACACCATAAGATCTGTTGAAAATCCTCTTCAGGTGCCTGATTAGATGCTGTATTGTATGTTTCTGTTTAGTGAATCTCTGCCTCCCTCTAGTGGTGGGAAGTTGAGGTTGCAGAAGGAGAAACCTTCACAGTAAACCCCTACATGTGCTCAGGGTGGTTCTGCAGACAGGTGATGAACTCTTTCACCTCCTTCCCTTCATAGCAAATCTGGTAGACGGCAGCAAACAGAGGAAACCTATCCAACAAACAGAGAAAGAAAACAGCTTGAACAAATAATTTGGGGAAATATTTAACATAAATATGCATCTCTGCACCACGGACACAACAACACTGATATTAAAATAACAGAATTTCAATTGTTAAAGCTATTTTTATTCTAAACAAATGAATAAATCAGATTTTCTTTTTAAATGTTATTGGTAATTTATTGACATTTTCATTTTTGGTCATAAGACATCATAAATATTTTCTTTGCCTTACAGATCAAAGTCATTCTTACTACAATAACCATCAGTCATAATGATTTAAGTTTTTAGCAGACTTTAATGATGAGCTTTAAAAAGAGAAGCAAAAAATGTACATTTTTAGGTGCAATTAAATCAAATGTTTGATTTAAAAAGTAAGAACTTTAGTCAGGAGTGTTAAATAGATAAAGTTGCAGGGAATAGGTTTCGGCTCTGTGTTTAATTTCACAGTTTTTATGGGAATATTTATCTTTCAGGTGAATTTTATTCGATAAATACGAGGAGCAACACATCTGGTTTAACAAGTGGGGCAATCTGGGGAGATTGTATTGTTCCTTTACGGCAGGCATCCCCAAAGTCGGTCCTCGAGGGCCGCTGTCCTGCATGTTTTAGAGTTTTCTCTGCTTCAGCACAGCTGATTATAATGAGTGCAGTAGAACAAAAGCTTATTAATCAGCTTTCAATGTAAATCAGCTGTGCTGGAGCAAGGAAACCTCTAAAACCTGCAGGACAGCGGGCCTCGAGGGCCGAGGTTGGGGATGCCTGCTTTACGGGAAGAGTGCATTTTAGGTTACAGCTAGGCAGGATTGGAACTCTATTCCTCAGACAATCAGAACATCTGCTAGTTATAATCGGTTTGAAAAAACGAAAAAATTATTGATTAATTACGCATCACATCTGTCAACACAGACGTAATTTTAGGGGGAGACACCGGGGACATGTCCCCTGCACTTTTTTTCTGTCCAAAAATCAATGTTGCGCTACAGTAAACAGACACTCGCAGAGCACTAGGACCAAAAGGAAAATGGAAGTCAACCTGAAGCCCGCTTCCCTGAGTTTGGACCGCCCACAAGCTCCTGATTGGACCTCCGTCTTTTCTTGTACGATTGGCTGTAACCGCCGCTACTTCTGAGAATCTCTCTTTTTGCATCACTGATTAGATGGTTGCAGCGCTGCTGAAGTTCTTTGTCTCTGTGTCTTAATGGTCTTGGAGAAGGTGGATCAGCAAACAGGCAGTGGGGGAATCTGTCACTTTAAGTTGGGCATTTGTTCTTCACTTTGGTCGTGTAATCTAGGAGGGTATTCATTTACACAAATCTTTGAATTGGTTTCATGTGCATGCGTGCGTTTGCGTTTTGGGTTATTAGACTCTCAGCCAGGATGTGAGTTCTTCAAAAGTCAAAAGTGTGAGTAACATTCTGTGTAACATCCCTCCTAAAACACCTTCACTGGCTCTATAGAGCAGCATATCCACTTCAAGATCCTCCTCTGAATTATAAAGCTTTCAATAACATTGTAAAGTTTTATTTTAAGGGGGAAAAATACAATCTATGAATGTGATTTTATATATCCAAGCTCATAATAATTGTAAAACTATGTGTTTTTAATCTACATGGACTGTTGCACCCCTAATTGGCCAATAGTTCATGCCATGTATCCCTTATTGCCAGAAGATATGAGACAAAAACTGAAGAACTAGTAGAAAACATGTTTAACTTTTATATAAAAGAGTTATATCAAAAATATTTGCATGCTTTGAAATCATAATTTCGCCCATGTCTGTCAACATTATGTACAAGAACCTTCCTGTGTTTCTTTTACCATCAATATGAACAATTACGTTCATTTTAATGACTTTTTATGCCTTTATGCAATTTGCATGTAGTTTCCCAACACAATTGTTTATACTGATGGTATTTCCTTTTTTATCTTTCATTGATTGACAAATTTATTGATTGACAAAGTCATTCTAACCATTGCACAACTTTTGCTGGTTCTAGAGAAACAAATTGTGTTTTGTCCAGGGTGAGCTGATGAAAAATAACCTTTGTCCCTACCAAATAGATAAACACTAATCAGTAAAGGCTTTTTTCATGGGGGCACAAAACAAAAGAATAAAACTCATGCACAAAAAAAAAAAAAATAAACACTAGACAACAATGCATCCTTTAGTATATTAAGTGAGCCACTAGGTTAAGGTTGCAGACTCTAAAGCTGACTGTAATTTCTAAATAATTGCAAAAGCAAACGATGAAGACAGACTCTGATCAAACTGATCCAAGAGACGACAGTTAGTCTCTTCTGTTAGCACATGCATAAGAACTGACTTTTTTTTTCTAAAAACGTGTCAAATTTCTTAAAATAAGTTTGTTGCTCTTAATTTAAGTATGAAAAACCGATGTCCTGCTAATGAAAGGAGTACTTTTGCCCTTAAAAAAGGATAAATAGATATATTGCACTTAACATAGGATGAGTTGTTTTGTTTCTTATTGGAAACATAAGTCATATTAATCCATTGCTATTTTGTTTTACCTATGTGTTCAAAATTAAGATTTATTTTACATAAAATGTACTTATATATATATATATATATATATATATATATATATATATATATATATAT